GTAGTACTAACCAGAGTTTATTACCAGTTTGCAACAGCAAATTATGAAGGAATACAAACTAGATAATTAAAGTTTTTAATGTAAAAAATGCTTTATAAATTTGTAATATAATGATCATTCAGGGGGGAACAGTGGTGCAGTGGTTAGCATTTGTTTCGCACTGCTGGGGTCCAGTGTTCAGTTCCCGAGGTGCTATCTGTGTGGAATTTGTATGTATTTTTTTCCCTGTTCCGTTGCACAGTCCTAAGACATACTGGTAGCTTAACTGGCTTCTCAGAAAACTAGCCAAGGTGTGTGTGAGTGTCTGTCTGTCCTGCAATGGACTGGCATCCTGTCCTGGGTGTATCCTGCCTTGCAGCCAATGCTTGCTGGGATACGTTCCAGCTCCCCCGCAACCCTGTATTAGATAAAGCAGATAGAAAGTGGATGGATGGATGCTCATATTTACTTCTTAGTTAACACATAAACCTTCTTTACCAGAGGTAAGTGATTATTTTATAGTGCATTGGTAAGAGTGAGAGGCTCAGTGAGGCTGTTGACACGTTCGTGGAAATAGCAGCTCAATTCAAAGCACACTATTTGTATCTTGAAATGTCTGAAATATCTTTAGTTATTTAAGTCATCTGTATCCAGTGGACTGCTTCTGTGGTATCAATGTGGTGACATTACATTAATACAGTATTTTCTTCCAACTCATCTTTGTATCAATTCCAATATACTGTACATTTTAAGTGTACAGCTTTTGAAGTTCACCTTTAAAATGCTAACAAATCACATAAATAGGTTGAGTTGTGCTCCAGAAATCTGCTGAAGATTTTGTCCTTATTATATTTCTTGTTTATAATTCTGACAAATGGAGAAAAAAAAACAAGATTGAATGCTGTAAACCAAGGTAAAGTGTTTTTTAAAAGGTCCCTGAAATGCTGTATACTGTAGCTAAGCACGTACACTGTTAATGTTTCAATGCACAATTGTGTGATTGTGTGCTTAAAAGTTCCATCACATAAAAATAAGTGTGCTGTTTTATTATATTCATCATTAGGACTTGTAGCAGTGTCTCTTGTAGTAAAATTAGACCCACTCTGAGGGTACACCACACACAGAATGATGCAGATACAGAGGCATGCACTGTTTATTCTGGGATGATGTGCTATAGACCCTATTGTACTGAGGTTTCCTGTTTCAAAGCCTGTGGTTTTTCAGTCATGAAGTGTTTATTAGAAAAAATTTTTTTTTTTTTTCAGGGGCAGCAACACATCAGACCTTTTTAAATTTCCTTACTTCTCCAACCCCCTACCATATCTCTTTACTCCACCTCCCCCATCAGCTGTTTATAAAACCGAAAGAAAACATTTGGTATTTATTATAAAAGTTACCACAAGACTGAATGACATGCCCATCATAATACTGGCACACCATGTTTTAGTTGGAGTTAGTATTAATAAGAAAATTGTCTGTAGCATATTTTTTCACTCCACTCAGATGAGACAACTGTACTTTATGAAAACGATTGTTCTAGCAACCTCTGAAGAGCAGTTTCCAGGGGACATAGACAGGGTGAAGTTCACAACCTGTCTGTTTTCTCTCAGTGCTTCTGTGGATAATCACAATGGTAGATTGATAAGGTCTCATCTGTCAGTGTGAAGTGATCAAACAGCTATGATTGAGGAAGCTCCCAAAATGCTTTGTAGTTTAGAAACAACAGAAGAATAATAAATAAGAATGAAGGAACTGTTTTAATAACTAATTCTTTGTGTGAATAAATGGTGTCAGTTTACTTTATATTGGAGCTACAATGTATGTACCCTCTGGAAATACCTTATACTATGACTATAGCTACTAAGAACAGCTATTTTTTTTCCAGGCACTGAAAACTTATAAAAGGTGACAGAGTGAATGATTTGAGCTGCAAGTGCAAGTGAACATTGTGTTGAGTTTCATTAGCTGGCAAGAAGGTGACAAGACAGCCAGAGATCATGATATGTCATCACCTGCCATGGACGCAATAGGAAGCACACTTCCTGCAGTCACAGCCTGTTAAAACTGCTCCTAGGTTTTTGTCTGATTCCAAAAACTGCTTTTGAGTTCAGGGTTCTGCTCCAGTATTGCAAGCTATCATTGCTGTTTGCACTGCTAACATAAGTAAGCAGACCGATCTTAATATTTCACACCTAAAACCTGGTTGATTTTTGACTGTGAACCACTGCAATTTTTGTCTCTGGATTTTTGTCTCTGCATTTCTTGCAGGAAAGTGCAAGAAATTGCCAGACTTATTATTGCTGGAATGAGGTGGGAACAGTGTAAGCAATAAAGCTTGCAACAAGTAAAACCAGTATTTACTTTAGCATTAAGCTTCCAAAGAGATTTAGAAAGGCTACAACCAAACAAAACTGCTACTACACCTATTTGTTGTACGATATTTTATCCAACATAATGTAGCTAAATGTCCAGTAGAGAAATGGCCACAATAATTATAGTACATAGTAGAAGGCACTGGAGAATTACTTCAGTCTAGCCACTGACATGCTACAGGAGTTGTTGCACTTTGATAACTGAAAAAATGTATCTGTTTTTTTTTAAATTAAGAATGCACTTCTGTGAAGGGTTTTACATTATATGACAGCTGTGCAGTAATATTTTAATACTTTTGCAATGCTTACCATCTCTCTGCTGCTGTATGTCCCTGTTACAATCAATTGCTTTTGTAATCACTTTTATTCTCTAGAATAATCTAGTGCGGTATAATCATGAAATGCTCAATAACAGTGCTATTGGTAGAGGTGAAGCACAATCTAGAGTTTAGCTTTTTTCCTAACTTCCAACAGATTTTGCAATAACATGGTTTGGTGCATTAATCTTCAGCTATTTAGTTGAAACATGTTCCCTACAAAAGTACACTTGTTATTCCACAAAGGGCATGCCACTTCAAGGTGTGTTATCAGAGATTCAGGTGCAATGCAGAGTGGTAAATAAAAAATTTCATTACATTCCCCAGAGAAAACATAATCACTTTAAACCATTCTCAAATAAAAGACCAAGGAATCAGAGATAGATTATTACATCAGGGATGAGGAACACAAGGTGGAAGGCAGCCAAAAACATAGCATATAGAGTTTCCTGGAGGAGGACTAACGCTCTCAGGGTACGAAGAGTACCTGGGACTTGGATTTTGCAGAGAAATAAGCTTAAAAATGAAAGGCAGGCTAATGTCACCTTTAATAATTTGTGGCCCATGCCATATTCTGAGCAAAAACGTTTCACTAGGAATGACAATAGCCAAGAATTAAAGTATTAAAAGGTTTATTGAGTATTTAAAGTTATAATAATTTGTCTTAACCCACTTGTCTGAGGGCTAAACCATTTGCTATCGGATGAGGCATCTGGGACCTCCATGTAGAGCAGGGAGTGATCAAGGGGCTGATGTACAGTATGTGATGTTTAAGAGAGGAAGTGACATCATGATTATTTACAAATTACTGACAGCTGAAGATGATTGAACTTGGCTGTTGTCATCCCTCCCGAACTTTCATTATAAACTCCATTAGTGAAGCACGGTAGATGGATGATAGATAGTCTGTCGTGGCTTGGGTGTTGCGGTTGGCTCACCAGTTTCCACAGAATGTCATGTGAGAGGGGGGAACCTTGTCCTGTAACCAGAGATTCATGTTTATAAGCAGGAGCTGCAACCCGAACAACCAATACTCGAGTCGAGAAGCAGCTAAGAATCAACTGTCACCAGAGGCAAGCTTGCAAAGTGAAAATTGTATGTTACATGTTAGATAGAAGATAATATATATTTCCTAATAATAGGTAATAAGATGCACTGTTTGGAACATTCATACACTTTCTGCCTGCTTTGCTTATCTTTCGGTAGTGTGCATGGTTTTCAAAGTAAATGGGGATATATCATATGTCTTTGATAGCAGTGACGTGTATCAGTGACACTGATGCATAGTGAGAAAGCACAGTCTGGATTTTACATCAATAGCTCACTGAGCACATACACGCTGTTATTTACATTTTAAATAGAGCGGAGATAGGTTTGTTGGTTCAGCAGTATTGTTTCTTGTGATAAAATACTGGGTTCATGTTTTGTGACTGTAAAAATGCCAGGTATTTGAGTTGAGTTTAAAACTCAGTTTGGAAATTAAGAATAGTAATTAAAAAATAAATCAGTTCAAATGGGTTTTAATTAATGGACGAAAAAGACTAAAACATCCCCCACTTGAATTTTAGGGACTGCATGGCTGTTAAACTGTAGATATGATTGATGATGGCTGATTAATCAGAGACAGACCTGTGACACAAGCCGCATTCACATGAACTCATTTATTCTTGAATGACGGCACAAGTTTGTACAGTCCTCTCAAATACAGTCTCTCCAAATTCTGAAGTAAGGGACATGAGCAAATTACTTCATTTAAATCTGACTGTGTAAATGTGTTTAGGATATATTCCAGTGGATGTTTGATTTAATTCCCAGGATGAACTGCAAATCAACCGACAATGCCATTGGTTCGCGGATATCCCAAAATTCATCTCTGGAGCTTAACATTAAAAAGGAAGCACAATTAAAAACAATTTTAATGTGAAGCGTAGAGATGTAATGTTTTCATTTTTATACTAGTACTCCTCTCTTTTAAACCACTTTTTGATAAATGTTGGATAAGCCCATTTGCAACATTCAGTGCTGTCATACACCACAATTTCTGCACGTCTATACTGTAATGTGCCTTGAGGTACAATACCACCTGTCAACAGAGCTGAGCCTGTAAAATTGATTTCTGAAGGGAAAATGGCAAAACCTCCTAGAAGCAATTAAGTGTTCGAACTGCAGACTGTTTTCCCACAGGGTCAGTGGTTATGATTCTCTGTTCCTAGCAACTTGCTTACCTTTTTGAAAATTAGTTGCTTGGAATCACATATTTTTACAATGTGAGTTCTGTGGTGTAGCATTTTGACATTTCTCTGAGTCTTTACCAGCTTGTTTGTCTTCTCAGGTCCAGCTGTCCAGCGCCAGGTACAGAATGGGCCATCTGCAGATGACATGGACATGCAGAGAAGGTAAAAATGCAAGAAACTTATTTGACAGTCCTTGGCTTTCTTTGCTGTTAATTGAATTAAAAAGAAACTGTGACCTTCAGTTAATAGTGATTCCTGTGACCCTTTGTCCCTTTGAGGCAGATGTGTTAGATCAAATGAAAAGCAAAAAATGAGATTGGTCATTTTTGTAGAGGTCAAAGGTAGCATTTGCTGGAGCCCTTGATACACATTTTGTGATTTCTGTGACTTTCTTTAGGTGCAAACTCTTTAAAAGCTAAAAATGGTTATGAATTCCACCCCTTCAAATATTTTTTTTCCATTACTTAGACCTAAGAGAATTATAAATCTAGTAGCTACAGTTAATGGAACCACCTCCTTATGGTGTTCATCCAGATGTTTTTTTCTGGGAAAATTAGAATCTTGCTTCGGAGGGATCTGTCTTATGTGTGACTCAATGCTTCCCTCTAGTGGTATAAAGAGGCATGATAACACTGCATTCTCCCTGGGCCACTGCACTACCCTAACTCCAGCTGGGTGGCACAAAACAAACTAGAATACTGAGAAGTGTGGCTTAAATAGGGTTACACAACTGCATCAGCTCCCCTTCCAGACCCTTCCAGGTGCTACAGTCCCAAGCCAAATTATGTCAGTTATGTTTTTGGTCTTGCAGGCTTCCAATGTGGGCACACCATTCCATTCAATTGCCAGTTTTATCTGTCAGCTATTCTTTGTATTCAATTGCATAAAAAGACATTTGATTGCATTGCATATGTTATTCTTCACAGACGCCAGCCATTGACACCAGTGAAGGGAATGACCCAAAAGAAAATCACTATGCCACAGTTTCAATTTCTTGAGTTTTGTTGACTAGCAAAAGGTCTCTGGCTTGTGTCCCCTTCACTGGTAAATCACTGCACAAATGTCCTATATACAGCACACTTTGTTGCAGGCCCTTTCTGGTACAACACTTGAGCTTCCCAAAGCGTAGACAAAGGTAAAGATTAGTTCCTGTGGCACAGCATGAAAGCTGACTGAACCGGAGTTCCCTGTGTGTTGTTTCAGCAGGCAGATGATGGAGCAGCAGCAGCTACAGGCACAGATAGAGAGGGATCGAAGGGCATCCACCTCAGGTAAGCGTCCAGCACCCTTCAGATCACAGAATTGGCCGCGCAATGGGATAGGAGACCCAGCGGCTGTCTGCCATCTGATGTCATGGTTTTCCAATGTCCTACTGTTGCCCATGAGAGCCTCTGGCTGTCTTCCACCTGATGTCATGGTTTTCCAATGGGTACACAGCAGCACATGAGAACTTCTAGCTCTCTTCCACCTTCGACAGTTTGCAGAGATTTCAAACACCAACATGCAGTACACTAGTACTTCAGTCTATCCATTTACTAGTCCCTGCAGGAATATCGGTCTACACATCTTTTCTCTAGCAGTAGCCTAAGTTTGTAAGGAGCTGTGTTTTGTACATTTGCTTCTGTGGGGACCTTAGACATCTTTCCTGGAAAACCTTGGGGGAGAGGAAGGGGAAGGGGAGGTATTAACGTATGTTTACATTTTCTTTCCTTTCTTTAATCATGTTTATTTTTTGGCAAAATAAGGATTTGTCACACATTGTTTGTCTCATGTTCCATTGCTGTTATTTTTGTGAGTTATATTCTTTCTTTTTCTTTCCCTTCTGCATTCTGACTCTTTCTTCTTTGTTGACTATTTGTCTGTTTCCCTTTAGTTTCCACCCTTCAGATCAAAGTGTCTCCCTCCTCTTCTCGGTCTCAGTCCCCCCCTCCTGAATATAGTCACTGTCGAGCGGGGGCCATGCCTCCCCCCTCCTACGCCAAGGTTACCTCCTCTTCCCCCTCCTCTCGGGACGGCGAAGGAGGCTGTGCCTCCTTGCAGGCAGATGGGACCTCTGACTCTCCCCAGAGAAAAAAACCCGTTGCCTCACAGCTTTCAACATCCCTTGCCTCTGCTTTTTCCCCAGTGCAGCCTGGAGTAGGGACATTGTCCCGAAATGTCCGCCAGATCCCCATCTCTCCCCCGCTGGCAGCTTCCCAGGCCCCTTTGCTTCCCCCCAAGTCTGGTGCATGGTCCTCCCCACATATGTTCTCGCCTCTGCCCCCCTCACCCCCTGTGGTGATGGCTCTAGCCCCTTTGAAGCAGGTCTGCCCCCAGCCTATGCTCCCTGTTGCCCATCCCTTGCTGCCTGTTCACAATGGCCGGGGCAAAGGACCTGCAGACCTTTCATTGTTTCAGCATGGGGCAGAGTACTCCAGTGATCACCTGGAAGATTATTGCCTTAACCAACACCAGATGCATTGTTCTTCTGGCTCCGCCTCCCATCCTGTCCTCTACAAACATCCTGATGGCTCATTCGCTCCATGTTATGAGTCACACCCCCTGCCCACTCTGATTGGTCACCCAGTTACAGGCCCCACCCACCAGTCCCAATTCCCATCTTACCACCTGCAACAGCTGTACCCGTCTGTCCCCCCTATCAGCTCCTCACCCCCCTCTTACACTGCTCTGTCCGAAGGGACTCTGCCCAAGAAGACCCCCCCTTCTCCTTCTCAGGCTGCCGTACCCCACTCCAGTAAGTACCTCAAAGCCCCGCAAGCAGGGCAGTGTTGCAGCTGGCTCAGATCGCTTTGTGTGGGGCTTTGCACACAGATGCCATGTCTCATGGGCTACTCCTCAGACCCTCAGGGCCTGTGGGATGCTCTAGTAATAAAAAAATGAAATAAAAAATAAAAAGCAAAAATCATTCCAGCAGGAGAGCAAAATCTGGAGATAATTTAAGATATTTTAAATATTAAAGTATCTATTGGTCTATGTGTCCCATGCATTGAGAGCATGAACACTTACTTGGCTTGAACAGACTAATGTACAGTAATTGTGAGAGTATGCATCTCTCTGTTCCCCAGATCTAGATTCATCTAGACATTCCACATCCTTTTTTGTAAACTTTAATATTTGTTATATTTTTACGGTTTCGGTTTCATGGAGTTGTATTATGTACTAGAAATAATACAAGATTGGCTTACTGTTCGTTTAGTGGTTTAGTTTTAAGATGTTTCTGAAATTTGTATTGGACACGCGGAGGAAAGCCAGTCTGTATTGCACATACATGCCCTGACATTTAACAAAGTTTAAGGTATGCCAAGCAGTGTGCCTCTGCAGCACTGACATACTGCCTCCAGCCTCTTGTTAAACTGCCTTCACGTCTCTAACAACCGGACCTCTGTGTCTGCTCCTTATTTATACATTATCTCAGGGTATTTTCTTTGAAACCTGCTGTGTACTGAGTGTGCATGCTTGTGTTTGAAAATGGAATCCCATTTAATGGCTGCCTGCAGGTGGAAAACATGTTTTTAGAGGATGTATTGGTTTCCTAGTTTGTCTTTATTTTATTTTTTTCTCTGCGATTTCAAAGCTTGTAAAGTGTAAAAAGTCTTCATTTGCGTACATTATAAAAGTAATAGCAAGATATATCTTTGTTATATTTAAAGACACCAAGCAATTTTCTTCTCCAGTTCTCATCACTGTTGAGGAAAAAACATTTTCAAAAATGACCTTGAAAGCACTCAAGAGTTAGAACAGATCTGTAGCAAAAATATGACTGACTGTTTTATAGTCAGCGTCTCCCAAAGCCTGATGTATTAGTTAGTTGTTTCTATCTCACAGTTCTTTGAGGGGTTATCGGCACTGGGGCTGTGCTGCTGCTTGATTGCTAACCACTGCCCTGTGTCCTGGGCTTTGGTGTTGAGTGTGACAGACCACCTGTTTCTGTCCCTGTTTTCACACAGGTCCTCCCCTCCCGCCTGGGCATCCTTCTTCAGTGCTCTCTGTAGCTCCTCCCACGGCAGCCCCAGCCTCTGGGGGAGGTCCGCCTCCTCCCCCGCCTCCTCCTGGGCCCCCTCCCCCCTCCGCTGGGGCTCCTCCCCCTCCGCCTCCGCTGCCGGCTGGTGGAGGTTCTGGCGGGGCAGGAGACGAGAGCCCGGGTTCAGGGCTGGCAGCGGCACTGGCGGGAGCCAAACTGCGCAAAGTGCAACGAGTGAGTGTCTAGGATCTTCTAGGATCGTCCGCTCCTGTCACTGGCAGCAGCAGGGATCACCTTCTGCCAATCCCAGGAGACCTGGAGCCTGGGGATGGTTGGAAATCCCCTGTGGCTTGCAAAGACAACGTCACACCAGGGACTGGCCTCCTCTTTAAAATCAGGCCTAAGAAATTATAATCCTTTAGTACTGTAGTACTGTAGTTGCCAGGAGCCCTAGCTGCCAGAGAAGAGCTGTTTGCACAGTTCGTCCTGACACTCTCCGTTTGTGCTCACAGTCTGAAGACGCGTCAGGAGGCACCAGCCCCGGTGGTGCAGCGAAGAACGATGCCAACCGGACGAGTGGAGGAGGGGGGCTGATGCAGGAGATGAATGCCCTGCTGGCACGAAGGTTAGAGTAAGACTGCAGGGAGTTATTTTATTTCCATTCGCGCGCCCGCCTTCAGACTCACAATTCCTCGCCATCCCGCATGAGCAAAGTGAACAAATGAACAGCATATCTTCCCCTGCCATCTTCATTGGTTGACATTGATTTAGCAGACCCCACCAGGTGCTTTGACAGTGCAAGTAATTCATTCGATCGCTGACAGCGCTGCCGTTGTTACTTAAACGTATATGTTTCCGGTACGGGTCTATATATGTTTACAGTTTACTTTTTTTAACAGAAGGAAAGCGGCTACACAGACAGAGAAATCCAGTGACAAGAAAGAGGAAGAAAGCCAAAACGTGAGTGAGACAGGTCTTTTTGAAAACCAAGTGTCCAGTAACCCTGGAGAGGTGAGAACAGGCAATCCATCTTGTTGTTAATGCGTCAAACTTGCTGTAATGAAATCAGCTACACTGTGAATCATGCCAGCTCCCTCCCATCTCTCACCTGTTAGCACATATCCCCTCTTGAAATTCCTAGCTAGGGTTAAGATGGTCCCTGCATTCTTGTAGAGTTTGATATTTTAGGGCCAAAGGTAGGAAATCTCTTCCTTTTTTTTCTGAAGGAAAATTTCCTTTGGTAGTGAAATATTCAAAGGCAAATCAAAATATTTCACTGCCTTGCACAGTGTATATAAATCATATATTTATATTACATTTAACTCCATTTTAAGAAAATTATCAATTATTATTTCATGATACAGTGATTATTGAACAAACAATATGCTTTGTAGGAGGATTCCAGCCTGTCTCCATCACCTGTCACCCGTGGGCCAGGACAGCAGAACTCCACAGGTAACCCAGTCTGGACCAGCTTCAATATAGCCTGCAGTCTATTTTGGGGTCACCGGACAACCAGCTGCCAAATTCACAAGGCCAGCAGGAATATGAGAGCAGATAAACATTAGATTGCTGATGATTAAACTCTCATTATGACGTGAATAGAACACCACAAACTCTACTACTTACAAAACACCTTTTATTACAATTAAGTATAAATGTGTCCAGCTTACTGGTGGGTTGTTTCAGGGTTGGTTTCCAGTTTCTTTAAAAATTAGAGTGTGTGAGCTGGGGCAGGGCTGGTTTCTGAAATAAAACTGTCTCAACAGTAAAGGTAGTAACTGTCTTGTACTTCTGGCAGATCCTCTGAAAAAGCCATGGGATCGAGCCAATTCTGCAGACAAGTCTTCATTGGTATCAAGGTGAGGATCTAATAATGTGGAAGTGACTGTATGATGCTCATACTCATAGCACATTCCTACACACATATAATTCATGTAATTCATGTGTTCATATAATTATTGCACGGTAGTGGCATAACCTCAGAAACTATTGTTAAAACTGATATGAAATTTTCCACATTCCATTGGAATTACTGATTGCAGTTGATTAATAAGTAACATGATTCCTGACACATTTCAATACTGGTGTCGCAAAGTAATGACACCCATGTTGGCATGAGTGTCATTAAGGAACACAGAACAATAAAAATGTCTCGGATGTTCATGATGAAAAACAGAAGAAACTTTGAGAAGGAGTGATGTTTTTATGTGTCACTGATCATTTCATTCCCATTGATGCAGAAGTCCATTGGCGCTGAAGAGTCCTGAAGTTAAGAGCAACTCACACCCATTAAGTACTAGGTACCACTATGATCCTGTCCGTTCAGGCCAGCTATACTGCAGCTCCTTCTGCCGATGCTGCTGTGGCTTTCATTTCAATGTGCAGCTCTGTGAAACTGGTCCCACCGCAATGCAAACAAGCACAAACTACAGGGAACAACTCCAGCTGCTCGTGCACTGTGCTTTCAGCTTTCTGCTTCCTGTTGGTGTTACGCCTTCAAGGCTGGAGCAAAAATAATTCAAGAACAAGCGATATTGATTAAAAAAAGGATAAACATTTTTAGCCTTTCACGGTTTAAGCAATTTACTTGAATTTACTTGAACAAATCAAGCATCCAGGTGGGTACTGCACATTGGTGGTGGTGGAGGGGAGTCCCCATTACCTGTAAAGCGCTATGAGTAGAGTGTCCAGAAAACACGCTATATATATATAAGTGTAAGCAATTATTATTATTATTATTATTAAGTGTATCTTCTACATGTGGGGTAACCCATACAAGTTTTTGGTGGCAGCATTTTAGGATTTTAATAAAGATGCATGAAAAAGAAAGTGCACAATTGTAAAAATCCTCTCTGTGAGGAAAAGAACCTCTCATTATTTTTCATTTCTCCATATATTTTTTACAACTAGCAAATAATATGAGGAGGAAAAAACAGTGAAGGGCGTGTGTTTATTTATCCTTTCTGATGTGCGTACCCACTGATCAAACATGTGCCTTGATTAATATAGGTGTGTTTTTTAAAAAAGGAGATAGGTGGTGCTAGTGATGCCTTTTTCAGCAGGCCTTGTATATTTTCTTTGGTGGATATTTGCACAGTTGTGCAGTCTTCCCATCTTCGGTCTTAAAGGGGCATTTATCAGCACACTGACCAACTCGCCCACGCAGAAATTGTGTTACCATACTTGGCTCCAATCTGCGATACATATTAGCAACAAGCTAATCTGAGAGTATGGGAGGCCTTCGTTACTAAAGGATCCATGCAATAAATTATAAAGATCGGGAAATGCAATATTTTGATATTTAAAAGAAGCTGTAAATGTAGATTTCTCCACTAAGATCTCAGGAATGTAAAATACTGATTATTCTGGTTCGTTCTTAGTGATTAGTGATGAAGAATCAATGGGAGCAGGTGCTTGGGATTTTAATTAATCATGTTAATGCTAAATTTAGTCATTTGTGCTTATGAAATGTGAATCTTTTCATATGTTCTGCTTAATCCACAATTAAAAGCACCTTTATTCAGGCAGTTCAATTAGATTAATATAGCACTGGGGGCATTTGCACATGATTTAACTTTGCCCGAGATCATTTATCCAGCTAAACGAGCAATGATTCTCTCCACTGCCAGACTGTTATTTTATCACACCATTTTACCTTCGAAAGCTCCTTTTCCACCCTTACATCATGATGTTGAAAGAGGAAGGCTGGAGCTGGTATGCAGATTTGCCATGTGTAATGCCCTCACCTGCTTCTCTGAAATGTTACCACAACTGGTTTCCAGGCACAGGGAGAGCAATGGAGAAGCCCACCAGAAAATACATGTTTTGTAAAGCAAAGCCTTGTCTGAGTGACGATCTGAAATGTTTTGTGCTTGGTACACTTTTTTTAGTGTAACAACACAAGCTTTGAAAATGCACTGGATGTGTGGAATGCGTTGTTAAATGTGAATGAGCTCAACTAATTAAATCCATAGCATTTTGAATTGCAGGACAAACACTTAACCTGGAAGTGTAAAATGAAGGTGTGCAACCCAGCGGGTTCCCTGTGACAGAAAACTGGCAGACATGTAGAACTGTGTTCTCAGGGTCCTCCCACACATGCTCTCATGGGCGAGATGGGATGTGCAATGTGGCTTTCCATGTGAAAACGGGTGCGCTTTTCCCTATGCTTTACACCATTCTCATGAATAAATGGAATGGACCTTTTTCCCCTCACTGTAGCCGTCTCTGTCTGACACAAGCCTGATGCTCTTGAGCTGTCCGTGATGCACGTGCACTGCCACGTGTAAAGGTAGCATACATGAAAACACCCCCACTGGTTGTCAGTGCCCTCCTTACAGACCACACAGGCACAGGGGCAATTCTGTCAGGCGGATGCTGTGCGTTTCTGCTGGCTGCGGGCTCATTATTCTTATGTTGTGTCTGCAGGGTGAAACCTGTCGGCAGCACCAACGACATGCCCGCAGATGCCTTAGACTTTGACAGAATGAAGCAGGTATGGGCAGTAATGTACAGAAATACAAATGGCAAAACGCAAACCTTGAATGATGTCTTGGGTAATGGAACAAGATTTTAGTGAAACATAGTCTGCAACTCGCTTTGAAGGCTGATTAAATTATTTTATCAAATAGCCTTCAACCTTCTTATCAAAGAGAGAGAGATGTTAGCACATTTGGGGAAAACCACAGATGTGGGAGAGATCAACAATTTTGCACTCTAATTTTGCACTTAGGCACTCCATTAAAACATCATTGGTAATGTATTGTGGGCCTAATATTTGCTGTTAGCTGCACTGGGAAAGGGCTGAGGAGCTGACAGAACCTTGTTTACACTTCTCTGACAGGAAATATTGGAGGAAGTTGTACGTGAATTGCACAAGGTGAAGGATGAGATAATTGATGGTAAGAGCTTTTGCTTTTGTCAACCAGTAGGAGGCACTCTCCCCACTGGATCGGATTTTCAGATCAATTCTGTATCAGCCTTCAGATAAGGTGTTAAACCAGGGGGTCCTTACCATGTCATTAAATATCCTATGATATTAAGATGGGGGTGTTAATCCTAGGCTTGCATAATCTGAACTACCTAAAATTCCCCCTTGTTTAATATTGTTATTTTTCACTTTTAGAAAAAAAAACAGTTTTGATGAAAGCACACCTAGATCTGTTAGGAAGTGTACATACTAATTGTGTGGTATTTTATTCAGATATTACAAAGGGAACAGGCTCTGTACAGTAAATAATTGAAAGGAATCATAATTTTACTAGTTCTTTATGCATTTTGTTTGTTTTTTAGCCTGTATGATAGAAAAACATCACTGTGTACTCGTCACTAGATCTTAAATGATCTAATCTTTGCTAACACAGCAATACTATGACTCTTTCATTCTTCTACAGACAGCCCAATTTAACCCTGACCTGAAACATGTATTACATAATACTGGCTCTTTAGGAATAAATGTTATCATATATAACATTTTATCGAGTATGAAATTAATTCTTGAAGGCCACTAAGTTGTTTAACGGCTGCATCTTCATTTTAGGACACAGTGGTACTGCGTCTTCACAGTCTACTTTACATTTACTACTCACTGCAAGAGATGTAGAGCCATAATTGTAAAAAATAAATAGTGCATAGGTCTGATTATAAAAGTAATACTGCATCGCGTCTTTGCACATGAAAACACTTTGCTCTTGTTCTTCTTTCCCAGCCATTAGACAAGAACTTAGTAGAATTAGTACAACATAATATCGGCAAACACATATGAGACAGCAGGAAGCATGCTGCGTTCTGAGGGAAGTAGTGACGGAGAGGAGGAGGAAGAGTGAGGCGAAGAAGACCACGCCAGAGGACACCCGCACTGATATGTCTGCATTACCGACCTTTTCTTCTCTGTAAATTTAGAGACTCAGCCCAGATTGCAGCCTGCTGCTTTCAGTCTACATAATGTTAAAAGTCTTAAGTTTGGAAGAAATTGAAATTACAGATTTGTTTTCTAGGATTTTTTGTTTTACTTTGTTTATAATTATTATAATATATTATTTTTCAAACAAACATTGCACACCATTTTATGTCAGTCTTTTATATTTTATATTGGTATTATTATTTTATTTCTTGGGTTGTTAAAGATACGATGATAAGTAAATACACAATTTGCATTATAGTTACATGACCTCTGCATCATTTTTTATGTTTAAGAGTTTTTATCCTTTGCCAACACAGATGATGTTTGAAATCACTGAAAAAAAAAAAGTTTGAACCTGAACTAGTTGTGGAAGAATAGAAACTGTTGCTCTTTAAAATATTGCAACCTTATAAACAGTACATCAATACACCACAGTATTTGTGATCATGTTGTTAATAAAAATGTTTATTGACTGCAAGGATTTGGTGAAGTATTGTTCATTTTATTTCCCTTTTTGACCAAGTGCTTCCTGGTTTAAAAAAATACACTGAGTTTTAAATCCATTTAAATAAAACTGTGAACAATGTATTTGTTGTACGAAGTTTTTGTTGAAAGAGGTTAAAAATGTTACATTCTGGTCTTTAGGTTGTTTAGTTTTCACATGTCTTCTCAGTACTTTCATCTGATGGTCACTTGATTTACAGCTGGATTAAAGCAACTGCTGCTTCACCTGATCTGGTCAGTGCAGTGCGCTTTGAAAATGTCATATTCCTCCCTTACAGCATTATATAAACACATACCATCTATTTTTGGTTTCCTTACTTCCATTAATTCTACAGTGCATGGACAATATCCTGTGCCATTTTGGGGTTGCTTGTTCGTAAAAGGTAAATATTTAACCTGGAGGTGTGAACATTGCAGAATGAATTGAGAACACAAATATGGTATGTGTGGTAGTACCTGACAGCGTTTAGCCTTTAAAAACAAACTTTCCTGTGTTTGTTCAGTGTGCTGACTTAAATGCACAGGCGGTTAATCTCGTTTGATTTTGTGCTATTGGTTGAGTGGAAAGCTGCGCTTTCCTTTATTTTGGAAAAGTGTGGATCACCATACAAATAATTGTATCTAACAAATGCAGTTTGTTATATAAAATGCTGTCATATCCATCATTTAAAACGGGATATAAGTAAGCATTAAACAAACCTGTCCTGTGACTACAGCAGATGGTGACTTTAAAAGTGGGAAGTCAGTAATTCTCTAAATCCAGACCCTCAAGACTAATAGACCAGTAGTTTCTCTAGGTCTTCATTGTTCAATCTTCATTGAACTCTCAGGAAGATTGTTAAATTAGATCTCCTACACAGGTTTAAGCTGTTGATGATTAAGCTGCTTCTCTGTTGACTCAGGGAGATGGATTGGAAGCCCTGCCCTAGAATGTTTTTGAGTTTGTGCATAAATATATGCCAAAAACCTACAGTAATTAGTTCAAATTTACTGCACCTAATCAACGAGAACAGTCCTGTGAAAAACCCTCATGATGTGTCTGAAATTAGGTCGCAGATATTGTCATGTATCCTCATATAGGAAACAGCTTACAGCTACATAGATCGAGCCATATTGAAGTTATGACTCTGAAATCCACCTGACTACTTTCAATTTCCAGATTTAAAAAAACAAGATATCTGCCATGGTATATTCACCAGGTAATCTATGGTTGGCCAGATAATGTGTTTTTAGATCAAGACTGCATGTGTCAGATTGGTAAAATCACTGGGTCCTATAGTTAAAAATAGTATGGTAAAATCACTATTGTTTCCAATAGGGTTGTAAGCATTTTGAATGTAAAACATCTTCTATAATTGAATATGGAGCAAATCAAAACTGGATGGATTCTAGTTCTGCTGCACAAGTTCACATTTTTATTTCAAAATACTCATTCATATTTATAAAACCATCTATTTCTTTAGATATTTTTATATAGGTCACCTAATTAAGCAAAGCAAGCTTTTTTCACAAATATATCCATTTTAAGAATTAAAATACAGTAACTTCTGAAGTCTGTTAAATAATTATTGTTATTATTATAGAACAATTGTATAAATCTTCAACACAAAAACTCAAGAATGTACCTTTTTCATATCCAGTATACTTAATGACTATTCAGAACATGCAAAACACTGAAAAAAATACTGAAAATCTTGAGTTAAAGCAGTCAAGTCTTTCATTAGGTCTGACTGGTCATTTATATTGTATTGAAATAAAAAGGATTCTAAATAAGAGGAATTGAGCATCAGTCTAAAACAAATATAAGAATTATGCTGTCTAAGGGATGATTGAAAATGATGGTGACAATGTTATTTTAAATATTTTTCACAGCAGCAATGCCACAGATCCAATTCTTTGTAATGAGATTAGTCAGAAGAGCAAAATGAACAGCAAGAGACTTCACTGAAGACAGGGTTCTCCTCATTGTACTGTTGCAATGTCCGGAGTGATGTTAGTCTTCTCAGAAAAACTGCTGCGCACTTTGTAAAATGTAATAAAACGTTTCCTCGCATTTCTACTGGTTTGTGGAACTCGGCAAAAAATGCAGCTAGGAATTGTGGGTATAAGGATTGATGGAACTTGCATTTGCTGTTAGCAGATGGTCTGGTCAGTCTTCTTTGGCCAGTTGGTACTCCCTCTTTATCCTGGCGTAAGGCCCAATGCTGTCATCAAATACAAAGTCCCACAGCACTCTGACCCAGGAGGTGTGCTGAGGCAGTGTGTCATAGTACTCCGCTGCAATCTTCTTCACCTGCCAGAGCCAAAGAAGAGGGAGCAGTGTCAGTCACCAGGACTCTCCGAACCAGCGCCATGTGCCTCAACTCTGGTACCCAGGGACTGAAGTACAGAAAATGTGTTGGTCTCTTTAAATTATTACCTGCTTTATAGTTTGGTAAATGGATTCAATTATACTTGATTCAATTATCTTAATAGTGCCTCAGGGACTATCCTAAATACCCTTCAATACCAGAATGACAGCATAATGACTGGACTAGTACACACACATTAACCTTCTGCATGAATCAGTTGTGCAATCTTTAATTTTGAATGTTAACAGTGAACAAACCTTATTTCTGGTACTATGAAAAAATGTCTCAAGAGATAAAATGGGAAACTTTTAGATGAAATGGAAATGGGATATGTAGGTTATTTTTTCTCAGGTGTTTACCAAGGAAGAAACCATCGACATGTACAAGTTTTATAATACACAGAAAAGGCAGACATGTTATAGGTACTAGAGACACCTAAGAAAAATAAATCTCCAGGTCCTGATGGTATTTGATTAATTGGATTGAATTGAGATACTGTATTATTCACAGTCAGCAAAAGTCTTTCACAAGTCACACAACCCGGGCAATGACTGGAAAACTGACTGTTTCACCCATCCGTCAAAAAGGGTGACCAAGTAATTATAAACCCATAAATTTTACTTTTATTACATGTAAGATTAAGGAAACATTAATTGAAACTAAACTAGAGGATCATTAGTATGTCAAAAGGATTCTAAGGAAAGACTACATTTTTTTTTAGGAAAAAGCTTTTTTAGGTTTAGGAAAAGCAGGCCCTGTTAAAGTACATCAGGCTGTGGATACAAAGCATTTTTAATTGTTAATTTAATACTCTGAAATCTTTCAATAAAGTTCCTTGTAAAATATTAATTCTTAAATTACAAGAAGCATTAAAAAAATACATGTATTTGGATTAAGAACTAGTTAATGACACAAAACAGAGAGTACAATAAAGTATGGATATTTAAATTTGGGTAATGAAATCAATGCTCTTTCTGGAAAACATCTGGCAGAAGAGTTTTACATGCAAGCAGCAAAAATATAAAGTAAAAATAAAAAATGAGAAGAAGCTACTTATGAGCCTTAGGTGTTTATACAGACACACCATTTTCATTCACTAGATAATGTGGGACAGCAAAGCAAACAATGGTAGAATACATAGTAAAAAGCAACCAGTTATGTTCCTAGGCTCAAAGGTAGAATTGAGAAGATTATGAGGGAACCTGAGTCAAGTAAGCAAAAACATCACATGACCAAGTCAAACGAACCTCTTCAGAACCATAGTAAAAGACAAATGAGAGGGCACAAGGACTAGAGAAGACTAAAGTGCCAAAAAGGAGGTGTGTTTGAAACTGGTAACAGGAGGTAATTTGTTACACAAAGAATTGTGGGTGGTGGGAGTCTGGACCACGCTTATTGGCTACTTTCAAGAAGTGTCTAGTTGAAATCTTTGGATCAGCTAGCTATTAAAATCGAATAACATTTAAATGGACAAATGTAAGTGTCACATTTGAAAATGTTATTTTGTTTTTAAAGAATGGATTCGTTGTTTTTATTTTCTGGCCCTAAGAAAAGAGTGCCACCTGCTGGATTCACTGCAATAATTAATAACTGGTGCTGCATAAAACTTCACCTCGCAACCAATTCACCGGAAAATAAGTGGCAAAGTAGTCCCAATCACAACACCAGTCCTGGCTGCAGAGATCTTATTTTTAACACAGAGACTTCTTTTCACTCTCCCCATTTTAAGCCACTTGAGCACAGATTAAGTTATAAAGTTCAGTCTTGGTATTTTCCACGATACATAGCACAGTTTTTAATGGTACATGGGTCTTCTCTGTGTGTGCTGCGTGTGCTGTTAATGAGACAGAAGTGTGGGAGACACCTTGTAATATCAATGCACAGCCATCATTTTTTAAAGTAGTTTTCAACTGCAACCCTGCTGATTGTGAAGTAGGCTGATTATAACTTCTTGCTTTCAGTCTGTACCTGAATAGTACTTGCAAAAGCACAAATCCATTGAGCTCACACAGAGTGAACTTAAAGGTCCATAATTATGTGTTGATTTCAGCCTCTCACCCTGATAGGTTACATATTAAACACCTGACTGTAGGCAATAAGGGACTCATTACCCTGTGACTGAGGCAGTATTTGTGTGTGTCAGAAAAGAACGATTCAACTTCACTTATAATTCTTTAAAGATCCAAGGTCCAAAATTCAGTTTTAATAGAATAAAATACCTCATGAACCTTGTATTAACTTTTCTTATCTGAAAAAAAAGAGGAAAGGCAATTTCTAATTCAAGTGTAGAGTTTCACTCAGAAACGCCCAGTCATGATAGAATGCACATTATGAAAACAAAACCTTCTGCTACATTACAACAGAGTTTAAATTCCCCTTTCAAAGAATTATTAAAATGATCCTTGCATATGATTATTTTATAATGGAAAAACATTTAATCTACTTATTGATGAGTTTTTCTGTAATTTGCACTCTTCTCTGTTGCACAAATTCCTCTAAACTCCTCTTCTCCATGCGTAGAGAGAAGTAAACAGACTTCTCTTTGCTTTTAAGTCAGAAAGGACTAAAGGTGCACCATTCCAGGAATCAGTGTTTTAAGACATGAGTTGGGATAGTGGGTTATAACACAAGCTCAGGTAAGTTACTGTATACCTCGGTAATACAAAAAACTACTTTGATATACTGTACAGTAATTCTGGTATGAGTACTTAAAGATAGCACAAGAGATACTGCTTATGGCATATGCCATTTTCTCCAGGTTTGGTATTTGCCTATACTGGTGTGTTATCAGATGAAAAGGCTTGAAAACCACTGGTTTAAGAGTACATCAAAGACTACAGACCTAACCTCAAAGAAAAAGCTGTCTTTTTCACAAACTCATGACTCACCATGAAATCTGTTTAACTGCAAAGGGATAAGAGGCAATTCTTCCATATCAGGTTTCCCACTGGTGAATCGTATCAGTTACAATATATCAGCTATTTTCAGTTCCACAGGTAAACTGTGATAGGAGGTCCAGCTGAAATTGCAGAAACATTGCTTTCCAAGTGTAAAATGAGAGTGTTACTGTGGTATTCCCTCGCCAGCACTCTTGAAAGTGCTCAAACCCACTGCATCAGAAAGATGGTCTTTTGTTCTGGTGAGAATGTCTGTGACCTATGTGGGAAATGTAGGGTAGATACAGTAATGTAAGGTAGAGCCTGAGAGATTGCAGTATGAATCTGGGGCACAACCACAGACCACAGATGCTGTATAACCTGAATAATATACAGAATATATATGAAGACAGAGTGTCATGATCCACTCAGCTTCTTATTCTAACATCTATGTCCATTGAAATATTAAGTGCTTAACTTTGAATGACAACTTAAACTGGCTTAATGGGGGCTTTGTTGATTAGCACAAATTGCAGCAACTACCCATTAAATAAGCGATCATTCAGTTACTTTCTGAAGCAGGTATGGAAAAGCTAGAGGAATCAGGACTGTGACAACTGGGCCCTAATTCTAACCTTGGCTCAATCCAAAAAACACACTGCTTCAGAACAATCACACCCAAGTTCTGTTTCAGTTCCTTGCACTCCAGCCGATCAGCCGCTCCCTGATACTGTATCTTATATGATAAATCGTTTCCACCAACGTCCAAGTGAAAAGCATACAGACTGTTACAGCAACTATATTGTGTCTTTGGCAATGTACATGTGAATTACATATAAGAAAGTGTAAAGCCTCAATATTAAAATAAGTAAATGTGTAAGTATAAAGTGAGCCAAAATAAAAACAAACTCTAAGTTGTGTTTCTATTCTATTAACTATAACGTTAGGGACTATCTTCCTGTGCAAAAGGTTACCGGAGAAAATAACACAAGTGCAGGGTACATATACATTTTGAAGCTTTTGTAACAGTGACAGAGCCCACATGATGAAGCCTGTACTGTTTAATGGATTGCCTAACAGGTTTCTCCAGTCGCAGTCAAAGAGACCGTTCTTCTAACACAAAAATGGGAGCCAGATGTTTCTGAGTGTGCAATGCTAAAATAAAAGTCGAGCCAGGAAAAGTTAAGCATAAACAAAAAATAATTTCATGGGCATCAGACTTAATTGTTTCGGATATAATGTTGTGTGTATCAAGAAGCATGCAGCTATATCACCCTGCAACTTACAGCTGGAAAACCACTGAGGATAAGCAGGTGTGAGCCTGGTCACTACCTGGATGGGAGACCTCCTGGGAAAGCTAAGGTTGCTCCTGGAAGAGGTGTTAGGGGGACCAGTAGGGGGTCCTCACCCTGTGGTCTGTGAGCCAGTATAGTGATGGAGATGCTATACAGCAAAAAGGTGCCATCCATCGGATGAGGCAAAAAACTAAGGGCTTGACTCTCCATGGTCATTAAAAATCTAAAAGAGGTAGGGCCAAATTTATCAAAAGGGCCCTGGCCTTTATCAATCATGGCCACCTAATAATCCCCATCTCTGAAAGGGCTTCATTACTCTGCTCACCTCCCCACCAGTAGCCAATGTGTAGTGAGCATACTGGAGCACATTGGCTGCCAACGCATCATACAGGTTGGGGCTGCACACTGGTGGAGGGGAGTCCCCATTACCTGTCATATAAGTGTACTAATAACCATAATAATAAATCTGTTATTATTGATAACAATAAATCATAATAATCATAATAATTAGTAATAAAAAGGTAAAAATATAAATGGGATTTAATAATGGAAAGAATTTTACCAATGGCAACTTGCTGCCAGGGATGCTGGGGAAGTCGTGGTGCTCCATGTGGTATCCCACATTGAAGGTGATGAAGTTGAGGGGGCCGTAGTAGGAGTATGTTTCGTGCCCCTTGAGGAACATGTAGTGCTCTGCAATAAAGTGCCCTGAGATGGGGTGCAGGCCCATACACAGTATGGACCCAGCCAGTAGGTACACCACCGGCTTCAGGCCCCACAGGTAGTAAATGACAAAGTCAGCAGACAACTGGACCATAGCGTTGGACACTTCCATCCGGGTGACAGGCTTCGGATTGACACAGAGCGGGCGCAGGGCGTAGAAGAAAGGCTGGAAGAAGAGCCACACGACCTTGCGAAGCGGCGTGCAGAAGAACCAACCCTCCAGATCGGTGGGCACGTCAACGTCCAGCCCATCCCCCCCCAAGTACCGGTGGTGGTCGATGTGGTACTTCTTAAAGGAGGCCGAGTACGGCATGCCGACAGGCAGGTTGGCAAACATTGCGAACCAGCGGTTCCACTTGGCCTGCTTGTTGCCGAAGGCCACGTTGTGGGAGATGTCATGGATGGCCAGGGTCAGGGAGTGGTTGATGCAGCCCCCAAACGCGTAGGCGCAGAACAGGACCCACTTCCAGGAGAGCCCACGCACCAGATAACACGCCAGCAGCTGCACGATGACCATCCCCGAAACGATCCACTTCAACAGGGGGTCGGGGCCCATCAGGGACTTGATCTCGGGGTACTTAGCTGGGGAAACAAAGGTGCAAACTATTTATGTTCCTCCACTTCTTTTGGTAATATGGTTCCTTCCATATTCCATACAGTTTGGCAGATTAAAAAACTGAATTGCAGGTCAGGCTGGCCATTGTAGGTGTGCATCTGCAATCAAGCATACTTCTTACAGATTACTATATATTAACAATATTGGTCCTGGTCAATGATGTTGCCATTATTACAACTCGGGTACTTCCTCTGCATCATAACCTATATACTAATATTCACAGTCTTTTTCGCTCTGCTGTGACTGTGTAATAACCTCCACTGATAAATGGGGTAAGAGATTTTTCTATTCTAAACGCATAATCTTTCATTTGCCCTTTCATTAAAATAATTAAGGGATCTACTTTAATAGGGTTCTTGACAGTGTATTGTGTTAAATGGCCGAGGGGATCAACAAACAAACATTACTGTGAATGGCAGTATTATGGCTGTAACTCAGCAATTATGTTAACTGAAGCAAAGCTTAATGTTCCCCCTCCTGGGGTGGAACCCGTCTCTACAATCGTCCTTTAAATGGAGAACACATTGTTTAGCCGTTTGAAAGAACGGAAGGTGTTGGGCGAAGGAACAACCGGGGGAATTCTTGTACAACGCTGACACATCAAGTCGCAACAAAACAGCCTTGTGATTTACAGCACTAATACATAAAACACACCAAAAACGGTTATTTTCACCGGACTCTGGAAATGTGCTGTGTAGCTATTACTTAAGAAAGTAGTGCGGCACGAAAACAGCCTCTCACAGCACAACACAACGTTCACCGCTCAAGGCTCATATAAACTGATATGCATAAAATATATGAAAAATATAGGGCAAATTAAAGTTGTTTTTAATTGCTCCACACAGTCCCTGTTACACGCATAATTCAGTCAATCACTTTCAGCACAAATCCATATCTAATGAGACACACATTTTATCACTTCATTATTATTGCTAGCTTGTATAACGAACAGCTTCGGCCACATTTAATTCACATGGTGTGCATAGTCCGTATTTTCCTACTTCATTTGTATGTTTTAAGATGCAACATGCAGGTCCCTCTGATGAAATATGAAACACAGCCTTCAAAACTCACATTATCTGAACGGCTTTTTAATGTAAAACAAACACAGGGCCCCATTAACGAAACTTAAATACTGTGAAGACTAGTGTCTTGGTCATCGTTAATTAAAAATATCAGTAACATGATAAATGATAATAAATGGTGTGCACACCGTAACCAAACCCAAGTTGCAACACACTCAACATGGATGGTATGGAAGCCTGCAAAAATGACTTTAAGAAATGTTACATAATTTTCTATACGCATACCTATCAGTACTATATAGTGCATTGGATAATTAAAACCTACCGTTTTACAAATTAACTTATTCGGGTGGCTTACATGAATTCCAACAGAAAACAATATCATATCATTTTTTTTTGTAATGTACGACCAAAAACAGTATAATATCACGAATTGCTACATCAGCAACAGTTGTCATTTTTTATAATAGAATAACAACATTATACTTCAATATTAGCCTGAACAGCAAAAGCCATTAATTCATCACTGTTATTTCTCATGATCCTCTTAAAACCCGTTAGAATTGCTGCCCCTTACAGAGGGCAATAATATCTGGTCTCTAACTCAGTTCAAGTGGAGTTTAGCTCACCTTTTTAAAAAATATTTTCGACTCTCCAGTACATATACAGTACACCGGCGTACAAATGACCAATCAAAGCTACGAAAACTAAGAGCTATGTGTATGACGGTTATTAATTAAAAATATGTATTAATATTTATTCCACATAAAACTAACATACTGCATTCGCCATTAAAAACTCGTTTGAAACACCAAACGGCCTTCTATCCTTCGTAGCCGTTGTTACGTGCACATGAATTACTAAATGAAACAATTAGGTGAGGGATGGACGCTTCTTTTTGCGTGTACGTATTCACCCACACTTAAAATAACTTTCAGAGGGCTGTTCTAGATGGAAAATGCACGATCGGTGCAAACGTTTCAAAAAGGTTGGGAAGCATAGGAGTAATAACATATAAAGCACACGCCAAATCGAGCGATTCAAGCACGGTCTCTGACAGCGCAAGCGCATACGTGCCAGACATACTGTGATGGGATTAGGAACCCCGTGTGCGTGGAGACGGACGATGTTCTAATGTCGATATGTACAATCCTACGGTATAAACTCTTCTTTTAATTTTCCCAGGTTATTCAGCGCAATCCTATTCTGGCTCCTTTCATTATATTATCCCATAGGAAAAACCTCTACTGCGGCGACTGCATGCCATTGAGTAAACATCAGAAGTCTGCAAGCCCGCTGCATGTGAATTTGGGTCATGCAAATCTATTCCAAGTCATCCATTCACAACTGCTCACTAAAACTTTCCACTTGCAGACGTTCCCTTTGTACACCGTCGCTGTAACAACACGATAGGGTACAAAAGATGGAGGAATTTAATATGCCGCAAAACACAAACGATTCAGTCCAAGCTCTATGTATCTTGGTAAGGTTTTGTAGATGGCCTGTTTGAAAATGCAGTCGTTTATAGAGCAAAAAATAATACGCTGTAAAGCCCTGTCTTTTTGTGGTTAATTGGTGTGTGTGGTTGCAGTATGCAGGACGAGCTACAAAATGTCGTCAGCTAATTTGCATGGAATTTGAAAGCTGTCACTTCTGTATAAGGATGTCGAAACCTAAATCGTCCATTATATACATTATAGACAGAATGTCATACCTGGAATTTCACGGAAGATTATACGTATTCAGGTATTAAGGATTGTATTTAGGATTTTGTGATGTGCATACATGTATGAAAAATAATTACACATAGTGTTCATTTGTTTAATTATCTTACAAAAGGAACGTGCAAACTAAAGAATTAGGCTGATGGTTGTCCATTGTGTACGCACCATTGTGTGTTGTTGGGTAGGTAACAACACAGTAACACAAACACTGTAGTGTTCTGGCAACTGAGGCACAACAGATGTTTAAAGCACTATGGCATGGTGTTTGTTTACAGAAGGATTCACAGCACAACCTTCTCTGACTTGGGCAAACAATTTAATGAATTTAAAAAAAGTAAGAGGAGTGAATCTGGAATCCCAATTTATATCCAGCACCTTATAGACACAACTGCAAATCTAACCTTCCTCTTATTCTCTTATCAATTTATGAATAATCTTGTATATTCTAATAAAGCTCTTGGTTAATCCTATGAAGTCCTTAGATGTTCTGGAGCGTTTATGGTATGTTTTGTTTCTGTCCAAGATGCTGCATGGTGGAAACTACTTTAGGTGCTATTTTATTAAGTTAAAGATTAAAATATAGCACATTGTAATGAAATTGATATGCTTAGAGTCCATAATCACATGGTAAGACCAGGAACACTACTGGTATAAAACAGCATGATTGTGGCAATTGTTTTGTATATTGATAATGTTGTCTTGTACACACAAGGAATAAAGTATTGTGTAAAATGTTTCAGTTTTGTCAGAAATGTTGAGTATCGCTGGTATTTGAAATAGCTGTTGCTGTAAACTTCCATGACTGTAATTTAGTCAAAAGGTGATCCTGGCCAAGATTAATCAGTAACCAGGCATTATAAATGGGACCATCAAGCTCCACTTTGTGTGAGACCATTTAATCTGCTTTAAATGCAAATGGAGTTTTGCAGTTAAAACTTCCCCTGGAAATAATATTTTATAAAAAACTGAACCTCAGTCCTAGTTTAGTAAAATGCCAAACCATATATGCTCACAAATACGTTGAATTGTAGGCGATATACTTGCATGATTCGCTGTAATACTCTGTCTTAAATTAGCACCCTAATGCAGACTCTTATGTGTGACCATTAATTTTCACAACAGCAAATGAAGATTTAAAAGCAAACCAGCCAATGAAAGCAGCTGTTCAAATTATTAATCCTTAGCCTCACGTTGTTATTTTTCCTCACCTGTGTCTCTGCTGCAGCTCTTGGGGATTGGTAACTGTTTTTTTTTTTAAGTTATTTTTCTCACTGCAACAAGTGTGAAGGTAATCTCATTCCATGTAAAATCAAGCAGTATAGCTGAAATATGAAGCTGTCATGCAATCTCAGAACATAAAATTGCTTGTGTTTATATACATACTAGTTTATTATTAAAAACGTTCAGATTCTATTTCAGCTTTCCTGTGTTATTCACAAACCATGTTAAGAAGATAAACCTAAAGATGGTTCACCAAATCTCTCATATAGCTCTTTTCATCTTCCATCTCAAGAAACTCGATGCCTTTTCAAATTTTCAACAAAGAGTAATTAAATTAAAGAAGGGGCAACATAAAAATCAAATTAATAATCCAGAAGAACTTTGTACAATTTAAGACTACAAAGCAACTTCTTCCTCTGTCTTCTTATAAGATGTGGTTTCTTACAATTAATGGAAGGGCACTATGTCCATGACTGATTAGCACATTGTTAATGATGGGAGTCTGCCTCTTAATATGTGAAAGTTCATAAATACATTCTTCAAATACCACAATAACCATCCTGATTCATGCCAACTCTAAAGAGAAAGAAAAATGAACACATTTAATAAGACTGGGTTAAGTGGAATATCTTTGGTAGCAAAGATAGAAAACTAAGGAAATATTGCATCATAAGCTTCAAGACAGTGAATTATTTCACACAATACTAAAACCTTATCAAAGTCTTTTAATGTCAGTGGGAGTTGTAATGTACAGTATATGACTGTGTGAGTTATAACATCCATCGATCATTAGAAAGCCAGTTACACACTTATTATGAGCACTAAAACTGATAATTAAGGGACTCCACATAAGCTAGATGGCATGTTTTTTGAAAGCAGGATACCAGAGCACATGAAGAAAACCCAAGCAGACTTGAGGGGAACATGCAAACTCCTCACCAATAGTTCTCCAGTCTAAAATTATACCCAGGACACAAGAACTGTGTGGCAGCAATGCTAAATGCCACTTCATGATATTAATAAAAATAACATGTAAGAAATAACAAACACATTTTGGTTTTCTCACTTTTTTAAACATGCGACTGAATTTTATTAAGTCTCTGAATTGAACAATTAAAAATCTTCATCACAAGACAAATAACGTCATTCAACCTACAGAGAACATACTGCAGTTTATTAGAGTCACATCAGACTTAATTTTGCAAAAGCCATATTTAATTGAGAAAATCTCCCATTGTCCTATTATCTCAGTAAAAGCAACATACTTTTATCTTGATAGTTGTGGAAGGTGTAATGGTTAAGATGGCCATTTCACATGGTCCTCTGGATTAAAATGATATTCTTCATGCCTTTTAAAAAAAGCAACAGAACTCAGTGTGTTTTTTTTTATTAATGCACTTGGAATCCTTCAGTAGATTACAATGATTGGCTCTACAGGTCTTGCTTTTTTTAAAGGTTTCATTACATTAAGATGTCACCGAGGAAATATATTGTCTAATGTTTACATATTCAGTCACAAGGCCAGCTGCAAGTTATGAAGCTAATCTTTTCAATAATGCCCTGCCAAGCTCATACCTTGGTAGCACAATAGGTGCTGCCATTTATCTTTGCATGTGAGCACAGCCTAGACAGTCCAAATTAGCCTCCATTCATTTTGCTGAAACATAAGAAGCGGACATGGTCGTGCCTTAATGAAACCGTGAATGTTGGATTAGATGTCAGATCCCATCCAAAAACCATACATCTCGAAAACAACAACAGCTGCTGCCAGAGCAAAAACAACTAACCCCGTTTTCCAAGACTTAGTCATAGAAAGGCCGATGATGCTGAACTAAACATTTTTTAATTTCAAGGTAAGTCCAGCACTCAGATGGAATGTAGCCGGGTCTTTTCAATTAATAATAAGAACTTGGTTTTGAGTGGCTGGGGCTCAGTGGCTTATCCTTACACACATCAGTTTTTGATATGAAGTATAGTCGAAGTGCCACTTATCAAATTGCACTGTAAACTGCACACTGAAAGGTTGTGAAATGCATTGATTTCAAGATTAAAATATTTTCATAATGAGGCACTTAATGGATAGACTTCAATGTCATGTGTATGCAACCCACTCATCAGGTTACACAATAGGTAGATTCCTAGATGGAACATTCCAGCTATATATTTATCATATACTGTAGCAAAACATCTGTTTTAATTATTTGATTACTGAACAGCAGAGGATTTGGATTCAGATGTGTTCCTTAAAAACTGTTACAAAAAAGCATTCCTGTTCTGGAAAAATACAAAGAAGTTTAACTAAGTACATTTTGGGCTGATAGGATACAAAAAAAAAACAGTCTGTTAAGACTTGAACAAACACAATGGTGAGGGGACCTGATTAAATCGTGCAAAATCTTCAAAGGCATTGACAAAGTCAACCCAATGGACGTCTTCAGAACCAATAGTGAAATACAAACTAATAACTGCTAAGGTCTAATGCTTCTCAAAGTGAGATTTAAAGCCCCATGGAGTGTGATCTTAGAACTTTTTCACTTTCTGGGAACGACAGGATTCCCCTGCTGACTTTGCACATTCTGAAAGAGAGCTGCAGACATGAGTGCAATGTGCCATATTGATGGAGTGTGAGATTACATCCAAATGAATGTCTCTCATGCTTGATGTGTCCTCTGAAATTTACAACAAGAGCATTTAAAACTAAGAACAGGGGGTATTTCTTTTACACAAAGGGTTGTAGGAGTCTGGTACAAACTACTCAGCTGTGTTGTAGATGATTTTGATAGGGCCAGCAGCCATATCACTCTGCAACTCACAACTGGCAACCCACTGAAGCTAAGCAGGTGTGAGCCTGGTCAGTACCCAGGCCTCCTGGGAAAAACTTAGTTTTCTGCTGGAAGAGGTGTTAGTGAGGCCAGCAGGGGGTGCTCACCCTGCGGTCCATGTGGGTCCTAATACCCCAGTATAGTGACGGGGACACTGTACTGTAAACAGGCGTCGTCCTTCGGATGAGATGTAAAACCGAGGTCCTGACTCTCTGTGGTCATTAAAAATCCCAGGGTGTTTCTTGTAAAGAGTAGGGGTGTAACCCCGGCATCCTGGCCAAATTTCCCATTGGCCTTTATCAATCATGGCCTCCTAATAATCCCCATATATCAATTGGCTTCATTACTCTGCTCTCCTCCTCACTAATAGCTGATGTGTGGTGAGCGTTCTAGTGCACTATGGCTGCCGTCGCATCATCCAGGTGGGGCTGCAGATTGGTGGTGGTGGAGGGGAGTCCCCATTACCTGAGTGTCCAGAAAAGCGCTATATAAGTGTAAGCAATTATTATTATTATTAATATTATTATTATTATTATTGTTGTGACCTATTTAAAAGTCAGTTTG